GACCGAGGTACATAAGTTATCAGATCTGCGATGTGTGGGTTACCATGCTATTCGCATAAAAGTTACAAGGGGATATTTCATCAACCACCCATGCCTCCCCCCGGCGCCAAAGTTACCAGGATCGGGGTACTGTGTTATGTTCCAAAACAAATTTTCATCCCGGGTCAAAGTTACCGTAGTGTTTTTACGTAAGTTATTAAGGCCCGCGGTGCGTAAAATACCGTGATATTTAAATAGAACTTACCAAGGGCATGCTTTCAACAACTTGTTTTTCCTCGGGTCAAAGTTACCAACAAAAATGTTTGTATGTATGCCTAATTCCGCAACGTATAATCTCGTACGAAATGATGTACTCCCTTCGTCTGAAAATACTTGTCATCAAAATGGATAAAAGGAGATGTATCTAGACGTCTTTTAGTTTTAGATACATCCATTTTTATCCATTTTGATGACAAGTATTTTCGGACGGAGGGAGTACTAGACAAGGCCAACAAGCAATAAAGAAACAACTTTTCTTTTGCTGTCATGGGGTTTAAAAAAGGTCATCTAGGCATTTTTCCAATTAAAAGACGTGAAAGTGGTATTAGGTGAGTTGGTCATCGGCATCTTACAAAAGCTAGCAGACCCAAGTTCGATTGCAGCAGCTGTGCGCAATTATTTTTTAGATCGCAAAAAAAAATGGTTGACGAATATAGGGAGAAAAAATGGGAGTTTCTAAAGATATAGCAAAAAAAGGCAGTTACGGAATGCTCGTGCGAGAAAATCACGGGAGTTTCCCAAGATATAGCGAAAAAAGGGCAGTTACCGAATGATCGTGCGGCAAAACCGTCGTTCGGATCTATTCCCAAGATCCGAACGTTCGGACGTTACATATCTCGTAAAAATATATACAATGTGTGTGAAAAAAGTTGATCATGTGTTAAAGAGCTTGAAATCAAGCATTTAAAAAAATGTATAAAAGTATATAAAAATGTTAATCAAGCATTTGAAAAATCTTAAATGTGTATAAAAAATTGTTGACCATGTACTAAAAAAATGTTAATCTTGTATTGTATCCAAAAAATGTTGAACTTGTACTTGAAAACTGTTAATCACACATTTCAAATATATTAAATGTATATAGAAAAATGTTTATCATTATTCATTTTTTTAATCATGCATTTCAAAAAATGTTTATCATTATTCAATTTTTTAATCATGCATTTCAAAAAATGTTAGTCAAGCATGTAAAAAATATTAAGTATGCATATAAGTAATTTGACCATGTAATAAAAAAATATTAATTTTGTATTTGAAAAATGTTAATCAAGCATTTGAATGCATGTACAATAGTGTAGTATATTGGGCCAAATTTTCGTCAATATACATGCTTGCATGTACTAGGAGATAAAAAAAGATAAATACTTCATCCGCTCCTAAATATAAGTCATTGTAGAAATTCCACTAGGTGGACTATATACGGAACAAAATGAATAAATCTACACTTAAAATGCATATATATATATATATATATATATATATATATATATATATATATATATCCATCCGTATGTGATTCATAATGAAATCTCTACAAAGTCTTATACTACCTCCGTTTCAGTTTACAAGTCTTGCGCGTATACCTAGGTTATCAATTTTATCATCCTAATATAAACTATATAACATAAAAATTATACCTTTTGAAAGTATAAACTTCAAAGTTTATATTGGTATATTTTTTATAATATATGACTTGTATTAGGTTGGTCAAATTGACGACCTAAAAATACGCACACGCCCTGTAAACTGAGAGAGAGGTAGTATTTAGGAACGGAGGGAATACATGCAAAAAATGAGCTTGTTTTTTTTCATTTATTGGCCGAAATTTTGTACTTTTGGTGTAGCATATAATACAACGTATTATTGAACGAAATATCGCAAGTACTCAGAGTACATGCATGCATATTCATATAAAAACATCAAAAGAAATTAAATCTTGTAAGCATCATTTTTTAGGGGTTCAAAGAAAAACGTGTTGCAATGTACCCATGCTTTTTATGACGATCCCAATGCGAGGAATCTGGTAGAGTTGCCCTAACCAATAATTGAGGACGCGCTTCACTCGTCAGTCGCCGGTCGCCACCCCAGTCGCTCGGCCGACTCCAGCAGCAGTCTCCTCCACCTCCAGCCACCGAGCTAGGGTTTCGACCCAAAGCGCACCTTCGCCGTTTCCGGCGCCGCCGCCGGAAATCGAGGCACGGCGACTCCAGCGACCTCCTCCAGCCGCTGCACGCCGTCCCCGACCTCCTCCTCCCACGGAATCGACCGCGTCTTCCGTCTGTCAGCCGAGCGCCTGCCCCGACCTGCAGCCGCCGGACTCGATTCTCGCCTAGGTAATGCCTCTAGATCCACTCCAGCGTATGCTTTCCCATGTGATTTCCATGCGCATTATACGTGATGATCCACTGAGGCCTTGTTTACTTAATCCCAACCCCAACCAGGCCGGAATCCCCTTCATTTCGCGGGGAAACCTGTGCATCTAGCTCTAGTCTGTAGTTCAGCCCCAAACCTGAAGCTTCCTTGTGGGGCTGTGGGGCTGGACTCATAAGAAGACACTCATGTCACACTCACGTGCTGATGCTGCTCGTTCGTGTTATGCTGGACTACCTATTTTGTTCTTTCCAAGTAGGCATGATATATGAGCTCTTGTGTTTGCTAGGACGAGTGGGATAACAATATTTTTAAAAGTCAGGAAAAAAAAGATGCCCGGCAATTATTCAGAAATTTACTGCATATATGGCATATACGCAGATAGATGATTATAGCTGCTGCGTGCTTCATACGAGCAAAGGTTGCAACCTGGCTTTGCATCTTTAGTTCAGTGCTTCAAATGCTCATCTTATCTCTCTATTCTTCCTCCATTTCTTGTTAACACCACATGTTGTTTCTGGTGCTTGCATGCAAAAGTATCCTTTATTTGTGGAGTAAATTTTACATGAGAAGATTTCTTTAAAGTTTTCCCCTCCCTTCATCAAATTAACCTTGATATATTGATATGGACTATGGAACTAATGTTTGCCTTGCGTATCTCTGGTTAAGCAGGTTGGATGTGGACCTCCGTGATTACTTGGTGAAGAGGAACTTGCAGAACACTGCAAAGGCATTCCAAATCCAAGCGGAAGGCAATTTATCGCCAGACTCTGTTGTTGAGTGCTACTCCGTGATGTATCCGGATCAAATTACGTAGTTGTCAGGAGGGCTCCATTTTAGTTTCCAAGCTCTATCTTTCTGCATTAGGGCCAAATATTTTGGCTCCTAGATCTATTATTTCCCAGCCAAGAGGACGCATATAGTCAGGTAGACAGTGCCATTTTTGTCGACTTTATTTGGTTACCGTGACAATGTGCAAAGCATAGTACTGTGTTCGTGAGTTCGTCTCATTTTATCTATATGCGAGTCTGATCCTTGTGTATTATTAATACTACATATCTCTGTATGAGAAATCTGGATCAGGTCACCTGATATGGTTTCAGTTTTCGCTTGTTTTTTTCTCTTCTAAAAATAGCTGAACTCTCCTTCAGATTTCCTGATCTGTTTGTATAGGCAGTCTATAAATCACAAGTGCCTCTGTTCATATAGGCCATTATATATTTTTTGTGGTATTCTTCAATCTACTGATGGTGTAGGACATGTGTTTTTCCCTGCATTCTTTATTTCAGGAACTTACCATTGGTACATTTTTCAGCGAATCACTGAACAACTTGAAGCTTCTAATGGTGGAACCATTGACAGTTGCTGCCGGGATAGGATGGGGCATGAAAGCTGCAGGGTGGGTTGCCTCGCCCATCATCTCTGAGCTTTTCAAGAAAGCTTCCCCCTACCTAGGCTTTGACGCATCGAAGAAGCTGAAGGAACTTGAGACAAAGATTTTACTGCTGGAGCAGGTGATGGAAATGGTGGATGAGAGTCGTCACAGGGGTCGTCTCCAGCAGCTGTTCGAGGATCTTAAGTCTGCTTTTTATGAAGCTGAAGAAATATTGGATGATGTTGAATATCACCGTCTTAAGAAGCAGATCAAAGATAATAAGATGAAGCCAGACAGCGACGTGTCTCTACGTAAGAGGGATTGGGTGAAGAAGAAGCTCCAATCTGCCGTGCCGAGCTTCCCCCTAAAAGATCAGGTCATTTCCTGCCTCTATGCGTTTTTATTTCTTTCCGGCCTATAAGTTTTTCTGCAAAAATATTACATGGAAAGATCTGAGAATTTCTAAGAATACCATCGCAACCTCAATTTTCTGGTTTATTTGTGGCACACTGGCTTTACAACTTAGCAACCATAACCTTCCTTGAAAAAGCAACATAATGACTTGCTTAAGGACAAGCAAAATCTTCATATACACCACTAGTACTAATTGAACTCTGTTCATAGTATTCTTAATATCGTCAATTAAGTCCTAAAAGTTCTGTTCGTCTCCTCTAGAGACCAGATGTAACCTTGACTAGATTTAGTGCAAATCAAGCTAAAATTTGGATTTCCTTCAGTTTATTAGTGTGGGCTTCTGTTTTCTTATTCGTCGAATCCTCACTTGCTATTTTTTTCCAGAAGAGTGGTATGGCAAAAACTAAGTTGAAGCAGAGCCTAGACAAAATAGAAAAGGTCATAAATGATACATGCGGAATTTTGGAAAAGATGAACTTGCCAAGCATAATAAACGCTAACCGGAGCCATGCTGTTGCTGCTAGCTCACGAGGTGCAGTCACTACTGCGACGCCTCCATTAGTGGTAATTGGACGAGGTGAAGATTGTGATAAGATTGCTGCAATGCTTCATGAGACGGAACAAGATGGTCTTCCTGGCACCAATAGTACTCTGCGTTATTCTGTAATTGGCATTCATGGCATCGGTGGTTCTGGGAAGTCAACCCTTGCACAACTTGTTTGTGACCGTGAGAAAAAGGATAAGCAAGAGAAAAAGGATGGTCATTTTGACCTTGTTATGTGGGTTCATGTTACTCAGAGTTTTAGTGTGGATACCATTTTCAAGATGATGTTTAACGCAGCTAGAGGGACTCCGTGCCCTCATTTCGATAATCCTGACATCTTAGAAGTTAATTTGAAGAATGAACTGCAAGGAAAACGGTTCCTCTTGGTACTAGATGATGTTTGGTACAGTAATGGAGATGATGTGCAGTATGAGAAGCTGCAAAAGATACTTACACCACTGAACGCTGGAGAGGCAGGAAGCAAGATCCTCTTGACTAGTCGAACTGAAGATGCATTGATAGCTCTAGGTGCTGAAGAGCAGTGACGCATTCTCATTCCTGCCCTAGATGAAGATGTCTTCCTGAAGTTATTCATGCATTATGCACTTCCCAGTGTACCCATTGATGATGGTGTTCGAAGAACACTTGAAGACATCGGGAAAGAGATTGCAAAAAAGCTGAAGGGATCACCTCTAGCAGCCAGAACAGTGGGTGGACAACTGCGTACAAGAACAAATGTTGATTTCTGGTTAGGTGTTCGAGATGGGGACATTCTTAACGAGACGATGGGAGCTCTTTGGTGGAGCTACCGACATCTTGATGAGCAGGTCAGGCGATGCTTTGTTTACTGCAGTATTTTCCCTCGGAGTCGTTGCTTGAAACGAGATGAGTTGGTTAAACTGTGGGCTGCAGCAGGGTTTGCTAGAAGTGCTAATCAAGGGGAGGATACGGAAAATATTTGCCAGGAATACTTTGATCAACTAGTGTCAGCCTCATTTCTGCAAATTGGAGTAAGGGATCAAAATGACTACTATATAGTACATGACCTGCTGCGTGATTTAGCGGAGAAGGTGGCCGGAAGGGATCATCTCAGGATCGAAAACCATGCGAAGTTAATAAAGCATGACTTTTGTTATAAGAAATTAGAATGGATAATTGAAGGCTCTGCAGTAGATGTTCCTCCAGACGTTCAACATGTTTTTGTTCAGACCTATGATGCAGCATTGATTACTGAGAAGATATGTAAACTGAAAAGCTTACGCACTCTCATCATTGATAGTGTATGGGCTGCACCAGTTGAGAAGAAAGTTTTGGAGCATATGTTTGTGAGGCTAAAGAAGTTGCGGGTGCTTAGCATAGCTATCAGTGCAGATTACGGACAAAAGATGTTGTCAGTCCCAGCATCAGTTGGTCAGTTAAGGCATCTACGATATCTTGCTTTTCGGACTAAAGAGAGTCAATTGCTGTCTATGAGGCTTGTTTTACCAGGCACTTTGAGCAAGCTTTTACCACATGCAGGTCCTACATTTTGGTGGTAATTTGCTGTTAACCTCTTCTGAAGATTGGTGTGACCTCATCAACTTGCGGCATGTAATCTATTCTAAAGATCTGAAAATTGGAAGCATTGACAGGCTGACATCACTGCAAACGTTGGGAAGGTTCATGGTAAGGAAGGAACAAGGGTACCAGTTAAAGCAACTGGGGAACCTAAACAAGCTTGGTGGCGAACTGTGCATTTGTGGCATCGAAAACATTGAAAGCAAGGCGGAAGCTCTTGAAGCCAATCTGGCTGATAAGGGCGGGCTCAGAAAACTGGTACTGCAGTGGGATGGTGTAGCGAGTGCAGAAGTTGAGACAGAGGTACTAGAGGGTCTTTGCCCACCCAAGTATCTCGATGAATTGACAATCGAAGGTTACATAGGTCTGAGGTATCCAAGCTGGATGGATGGTGAGGACAACGGTGGCCCAAAGTACTTGAAAAATCTCAAGTTCAGTGGATGCAGCCAAGAACTGGGTCCAGAACTTCGTGGGTTCGTCAGTCACCTCCGTGTGCTCAGTATCCAGTTCTGCAGCTGGGTCTCCTTGCCAGATTGTATGGAGCACCTTCGGTCACTGCATGAGCTGAGTATCCGCTGCTGTAGTAATATTCGGTCGCTTCCAACACTGCCGCAGTCACTTCAGGACTTTCGAGTCCATGCATGCAATGATGTGTTGATGGGTTCGTGCAAAATAATTGGAGATCCAAATTGGGACAAGGTTCAGCACACTCCGCGCGCACGTATTGGAGGTAAATCAAGTCGTTCTCACAATTACATCGTTTTGTTTGCAAAACATCGCTATGTGCTTCTAATCTGTTTGCTAAACTCTCAAACACCAGGCTACGTGCTAACAATGGGAGTTGTTAGAGAACCCGAAGAAGCACAAGCTGAAGTGGTTAGCGACTGAAATGGAAACACTGGTTTTTATCTGTTCCCATCGAATTCATGTTTTATCAAACGCACCGTAATAAGTAGTTCTGTCTGTGAAACCACGAACACTGAAACTGTGTGTTTCCGGTGGTTTGTAATGCCGAAGAATGCTGAACACCCAATCTATTTATTTCCGATGGCTTGCAATGCGCTGTTGCAAATGTTAGCACTTGTTGGATAAATGCAGTGTCGCATTATTTCTTCCTTTCATGCATTGACCCAAAAATATTGCTCTAATCCTGCAGATACAAGAAAAGCGCTCCCCGGCCGCTCCCGCGGGCGGCCAGGAGTGCACCCTAGCCGCCGCCCAGGCCACACCCCGCCGCCCTTCCTCCCCTCGCCGCCGCCGGCAGGCGTGGCCGGGCAAAGCCCGCGCGGCGCGGCGGCGGCAGGGCCTTCTCCTCCTCCCGTTTGGAGTTGGACGGCGCTGGCCGGCTGCCTCGGTGGGTGCTCTGGGCGTGCTTGTGCACGGAGGCGTGGAGCTAGCTGGGGCGGGCGCGGTGGCCTCCTGTCGCGCGGATCTGGCGGCTTGGCTCTGGTTCGCCGGCGAGGTGCGCCGCGGGCGCGGGCGGGGCGGCGCTGAGGCCGGCCGTCGTCGATCTGGCGCCCGGGCGCCCAGATCTGGCGATGGAGGTGCTCCGGCAAGCTGCGGTGGCGGCGCTCCGGCGGGCTGCGGCTGTAGGGCGCGCTGGGTGCCTGGGGTCCCTTCCCTCGGCCCGGGGAGCTGCGGTGGTGGCGGTGAGGCGCAGTTTTCTGGACGACGGTGCCGCATCGGTGGGGGTTCTGGTGATGGTGAGCTGCAACAGAGCAGCAGCTTGGGCTGGAGGTGGCTGGGGGTGCGCGGATCTGACATGGCGCTCTGCTGCGGCGTGTTGAGGGCTGGTGGTTGGCAACGATGTCCTCGGCACAACTTGCTATGTTCCTATGCCGTTCGCTTCCTGTGAGGCCCGGCGGTGGAGTAGATCCTCCAGGCGAAAGTCTTGCACCTTCTTCGGTGCCGGTGTTGGCGATGTTCTTGAGCATTGCATTCCTTCCTGAAGGCACATCGCGGAGCTACGTCCATCTGCTGCCGCAACTGTCTGGTGTTTCCGGATGAAAACCCAAGCTCCATTGGAGCGGGCGGCGACGGCAATTACGTCGTTACCTTCTTGGAGGCACCGCCTTGGAAGCAATGACCTTTGTGGAGTGGTGGTCTCATGGCAGTGGTGCAGAGTTGCGTCGTTGTCGGGGTGATGGAGGCCGGGGTGGCGGCTCCGGACGATGGATTTACGCCGAGGCGGCGACCTCGGATAGCGATGCAACAGTGGCTCTATGGGGCAGAGTCGCAGTTGTGTATTGTTTCGGTGGCGACTTGGTGCTACGTGGGTAGCGAGGTCGTCGGCCTGGTCGATGCGACCCAGAGAGGGCGGTCTGACTTTACGTCGGGGCGGCGGCCCCGGATGTGGTGCGGCGTTCGTGGTCTGCGTGCAGTTGTCCTGTGCAGCATGGGCTGCGGGTAGCTGTATTGTGCGGCGTTGCTGCTCGAGGGCGAGTGGAGGCATGTCGGGGCGGCGGCCCCGTATGTGGTGCGACGTTCGTGGTCTGCGTGCGGTTGTCCTGAGCAGTGTGGGCTGCGGGTTGCTGTATCGTGCGGCGTTGCTGCTCGAGGGTGAGCGGTGGCATGTCGGGGCGGCGGCCCCGGAAGGCGGTGTCGGTTGAGTGCGCAGGGCGCAACGGAGCAGTGGATGTCGAGGCGGCGGCCTCGGGAGAGTTGCAGCTTCGAGGGCATGGACCTCGTGTCGTGTGGGCGACGTGGTTGTCATCGATGTTGTTTATGGGTGGGCTTTGCCCTGTGTGTGTTAGTCTTTGGGATGGGCTTGGCCCTTGTTGTTTCGGTTTTTGCCCAATTTTTCGTAATTAATTGGGCAATTCTCTTCTGCTTAATTAATAAATGAGGCAATCTTTGCCTCCGTTTCGAAAAAAAATTTTGCTCTCTGGGCCGTGTTGTTGATTGCAATGGAGGACGCTAGTGCTACAGTATATCTGCGTATATGTGAGCACATAGAAACAGGGAGGGCAACTTTGGTGAAATGGGCAATGTACTGATCAAATCTGCAATTGGAAAGAGCTGAAACACGGAAGTGAGCCTCGTTGATGTTTTGGATACCTTTGCTCATCCTGGCTGATCCTCAACTCTTGCTTATTTGAATCCATTGCAAATGATCTATTGATTCCTCTCCCCTCGACAGACCCTACCTCCACCGTCCAGCTCTCTCTCTGGTTGGCCATGGCTCACCGCCGTCAACCACCACGCCCACATTCCCACTCCCATCGGAGTACCATGAGCCTCCACACGTCAAGTCCGGCCAAGTTGTGCTGCGATTGTTCCTCGGCTGCGGGAACGCCATGGGGCTGGAATTTGAAGATGAATGCTGCAGGAGCATTTGCACCTTGCCTTTCCGCTCTTCATCACCTTCGACTCCACCATCGTTGCCGCCCTCCTTCAAGCTGCCATTGTTTTTTTTTTTTTTTTGAGAAACCCAAGCTGCCATTGGTGGTTGCGAGATAGATTTCTTCAGGGCCAGACCGGCAAAATCTAAGGCCCCGTGCCAAACTCTAAAAGAGGTCCTACCTGCGGATACTTGTGATATTTTAAAATATATTTATTCATAGCTCCCCTCTCGGATTGAATTAAATTAGGAAGTATTTTTTATCCCTTAACTTTTGGTGAAGTCTAGATTTAGTCCCTCAAGTTTAAAATTGGACAACTTGCACCGCCAACACTTGAAACCGGACAAGTTTAGTCCCTTGTCTCGGTTGACCCAGTATCGCTGCTGACTCAGTGCGGTTTTGACCAATCTTTGTCTATGTGGTGGTATTTCTCTCTCCTACCTTCCTCCTCACATTGGCTTACTGAGACAGTTCATCAAACACTAGCACGTACTGTGTGTGCCGGCAGGGCCATCTCCAGAAATTCGGGGCCCCGGGGTGAAAATCAAAATAGGGCCTAAAATTTCAAAAGAGAAGAATCATATTGCCAACGATCAGGAACAAACTTAATTCCATATTACTCCTAACCTAGCTAGGTTTACCCGCAAAAAATACCTAGCTTTGTTGACAAATAATTTCATGACGAAGATTCATGAACAAACTCAATTTCGTCCTAATTGGGCCCCTAGCAACCTAACTTAGCGCTAGCCTGGACCCTGGAGTATCAACATCGCCCCATGGACAAATAATATTGACCTACTCGGCTACTCCTAGCTTAGCATCTGAGAGATCAAGCTTAATCAAGTATTCCCTCCATTCGAAAATACTTGTCATCAAAATGAATAAAAAGGAATATATCTAGACATATTTCAGTTTTAGATACATCTCCTTTTAGCTATTTTGATGACAAGTATTTTCGGACGGAGGAAGTAATACTAGTAATCAAAGAGAGGGATGGGCTTAAGCAGACGAGACATCTATACCTAGTAGACTAGTGGTGGAGGACTAGGGGCACCCATGGAGTGGTCGCCGATGATCCGCGATCACCGATCGACGAAAGGCAGACGACGGCTTCCTGGGCGATTGGCGGAAGCGAACCGATGGGCGTGTTGTGTTTAGGGTTAGCAATCGACGACGGAAACATGCCCGATCGATAGACGTACGGGGAGAACTCGTGGGCTGGCTTTGCCGCTGAGTGGGCTCCTTGTACGCTTTCTTAGGTCTTTGTTTGGTTAGCCGCTGGTGGATTAAATCATCTAAACCTAGAGTACCTAGTAATTTGGGGGCCCTGTGCAGTCGCCCATCTTGGCCTCCTCCATCGACGGGGCCGTGTGCCGGGCCGTGCTGGCTGCTCCCGCACGTGCGCCAGGAATACCCTATTTGCCGCTCGCTGCGGCAAGTTGTCGGGCGGACGCACAGGAAGATCGATGGAGGGTTCGCGTGTGGGCCGGCCCGTAAAATGTTTCGACAATTCAGGTTTTAGGAAACTTTTCCTTTGTTCCCAGCCGGTTTTTTCCGGTTTTGCGAAGAGCTTCCTAACACTTTTTTTCTGTTTCTTTTTTGTTTTCCGTTTCCCTTTTTCCTGTTTATTTTTTCTTCTCTATATTTTCCTTTTCTACTTTTTCAAGTCTTCTTTTTCACCTTTTTTTCTTTCTGTTTCTTTTCTTTATTTTTCCTTGTCTTCACTTTTTCATTTTTCATAATTTTAAAAATGTTCAAAATATTCAAATTTTGCTTGCATGTAAAAGATATTCGTTCTTTACAAAAATATTCGAAGTTTAAAAAAAAGTTCGCTTATTGAAATATTTTCAAATTTTAAAAAATATGTTCCGGTTTTAAAAATATTGTTCAGGTATTGAAAAAATGTTCGAATTTCTGAACTTGTTTGAGATCTTTAAAAGTTTCTAAATTTTCAAATTTGTTCTTCAATTTTAAAAAATGTTCGTGCTATCTAAATTCCTTTCTTTCAAAAATTTATTCGAGTTCTCAAATTTTGTTCACAAATTCAAAATATTCATAGATCTAAAATTTTGTTCACAAAATTTAAAAGATGTTCATCTTTTCAAATTTTGTTTAGGAGTTTGAAAAAATGTTCCTCTTTCAAAATTCATTCGCAAATTTAAGAAAAATGTTCGTGTTTTCCAATTTTGTTCAGTGGTTTTAAAAATTGTTTCTATTTCAAAGAAATTCGCAATTTTGAACAATGTGTCTTTTTTCTAAATTTTTTGGGAGTTTAAAAAATGTTCGAATTTTTAAAAAAATGCTAAACAATGTTCAAATTTTTTTGGGAGTTTAAAAAAATGTTCGAATTTTGGGAGTTTAAACAATGTTCATCTTCTTTTCTTGTTTTTCTGCTTATTTTCTCCTGTTCCTTTTTTCCTTTTTAGTATATTTCACAGTTCTAAAAAATGTTCCTGATTTGATAAAACTGCTCATATTTCTCAAAAGATGTTCGAAAATTAAAAAAATCATTTTCTAATTTTTGTTCTGAGTTTGAAAAGATGTTCTTGTTTCAAAAATTGTTGACGGATTCCAAAACTATTCGCATTTCCAAATTATTGTTCAGAGTTTAAAAAAATGTCACTTTTAACACAAATTTGTTCACATATTCAATAATGTTCGTGATTTTCAAAAAAGTGTTCAGTTTATCAAAAATTTGTTCTGATATTCAATAAATGTTCGAGCTTTTTTTCTTCTTCTCAAAGTTGAAAGGTGTTCACTTAAAAAAACATATTTCCAAATAATGCTCGGATCTGTATTACCTTTAGTTTCGCGCGCCATTGCAAACCAAGAAGCTCATATATCCCGTCGGCTAGGCTCTTGCATGAGCAACAACAGGTCCCTGGTTCGATCCCTCCCTCGAGCACACCTTTTGAGGATTTTTCATTGTGTTACGCTAATGGGCCGGCCCAGCTGGAGTCGCGCCAGTGCGTCCGCTCGGCAATTCGCCGCAACGAGCGGCGCATAGGAACTCCGGTGTGCTGCTTCCCTTGGGCCAAAAGGAAGCCGCAACTCAGGATGGTGCAAGTCAGCATGCCGCGGTGCTGCCTCGTCCCGTTAGTTTTTATCCCTAGTGCTTAAGGACGCTGTACGGGAGCGTATATTGTGTACGTGTATATGGTGTACATGGGCGACGCTGCCTCGTCCCTTTTTTGGCTGTGTACATGTTGTACGTGTGCTCCGTAGTCGCTGTACGGGAGCGCCGCCACCCCGTCCAGCATGCTCATGGTGCTGACTGCTGAGGCTGAGCACCGGATGGAGACACCCGACGCGCTCTTCAGCTTCTCTTCGGCCCTCGCGCGCCAGCCCTAGAATGGGCTTCCTAGCCCGCGCACCCCAGATGACGTGCTCCCCGGCAGTGGAGAAGAGTAGGTCGAGGGCGAGCGTACATGAGGTGGAGCCACTGCCCGCGTGGCTTGCCTTCATCTTCCGCGGCCACCATGGTGACGCTGCCTGCTTGCCTTCATCCTCGTACATCATGAAGCGGGAGTGGTCGTGGGTCGTGGTGTCCGGCGAGGTAGAGCGGGGCTGCGATGTCTGACGAGGTGCAGCAAAGCTCGTGGTGGCCGACTAGGTAGAGCAGAGGTATCGTGGCTGGCTAGAGGGACTTGCGATGGTTCGGCCGTGGACGGCACACGCAGTGCATGCAAGGTGTTCAATGAAATGCCTCAATAAGCCATTGTGAGAAGGAACAAGGTAGGAGAGAGAAATTCTGCCACGTGGATGAAGACCGGTCAAAACCACACTGAGTCAGTAGCGATACCGGGTCAACCGAGACAAGGGACTAAACTTGTCCGGTTTCAAGAGTTAGGGATGCAAGTTGTCTGGTTTTGAACTTGAGGGACTAAGTCTAGACTTTGCCAAAAATTGAGGGACGAAAAGTATACTTTTCTCATTAAATTATCTATTTGTGAACATTTTTCAAATTCAATTTTTTTGCAATTTCATGAACAATTTCTAAAATCCAAGATTTTTGTAAATCCGATTTTTTTCAAAATTCCTGATTTTTTTTGAAAACCAAGAATAATTTTAAAATCTACCAACATTTTTTCTCAAATTCGTAAATTTTTTGTATTTGTGAACATTTTTTGCAAATGCATGACCATTTTATCAAATCGTTAACACGTTTCCAAACTCAGGAACACTTTTCAAATTTGTGATTTTTTAAATCCATGGACATTTTTTATTCTTCAAATTGTTGAACATTTTTTAAAATTATAGAACATTTTTTTAATTTCGGAACATCTTTTTGAATCGCAAATATTTTCTATTTTTTTTAAAAAAAATCAAATTCGTGAACATTTTTTGAATCCCTTGATCGGCATACTGATGCTTGGTTGGCGCAAGTTTGCTCGCACCTGTCCGAGTCATTCAAGAAACCGTGTTGATACTTGACAACTTTTCCAAAGCGAGGAATAAGACGTACTACTACTATAGGTAGGTTCATTGACCAGCCAACCAATTTGACCCTCGTGTCCATCCTCTTGCTCTTCGACTAGTCTACAACTCTACATACACACACTTCTCCTTCTACCCATCAAACAAACAACCCAACACCAACAAGGGAAAAAACACACAGAGCTAGCTAGCTACGTGCAAAGTTTGATGGCCGGAGGAGACAACCTGAAGCTGGTCGGCATGTGGGCGAGCCCACACGTCCTGCGAGTGCGGCTCGCTCTCCGCCTCAAGGGCCTGAGCTACGAGTTCGTGGAGATGGAGGGGGATCAAGGCCTCAAGAACAACAAGGGCGAGCAGCTGCTCCTTAACAGTAAGCTGCCGGTGCTGATCCACGGCGGCAAGCCTGTCCGTGGTTCGTCCTTGAGCATGATACAGTACATCGACGAGGCCTTCGCTGGCGTTGGCCCCTCCCTCCTCCCCGACGACCCCTCTGAGCGTGCAATGGCTCGCTACTGGGCTGACTTTATCAATGACACGGTATTGCGCTATTTTTTAGATGATTGAACTTTTTTTACTAGTTTCATCATCAACCACACAGGAGTTCAAAACATTCTACACGCATGATCGATCAACTTTAATTAGATTTGTCGGCTTTGTATGCTTTGATTTTTTTAATTGTATCTCTATATATACTACCACGGCGGATTCTCAAAAAAGAAATATACTACCACAGCGGTGTTATTATAGCTTATATCGTGTGTATGTGCAGCTCGTGAAGGCGATGCACAAGGCAGCATGGGGCGAAACAGACGGGGAAAAGGCAAAGGGGAAGAACCAGGTGGCCTCCGCTGTGGAGACCCTAGAGGGCGCTCTGAGAGAGTGCTCCAAGCCCTTCTTTGGAGGCAACATTGTCGGGTATGTGGATGTTGTGCTCGGTGGCCTTCTTGCATGGGTGCGCACGACCAACGCAATGCAAAGTGTTAAGACCTTCAACGACCCTGCCATCACACCGCTCCTCGCCATGTGGGCAGACCGTTTTGATGCACTGAAAGCAGTCCAAGTGGTCATGCCAGACGTGAGAATGCTGGTCGATTTTGCCATGCCCATGATGTCGGCTCGCCGCTCTGGTGTCTGGTCGATGGGGCCTCGTCGTTTACCTATATGTTTTTGCGGTTCTTCTGCAAATGGTGGCGTCCTATCTCACTTGGTTGGGTCGAGCCGAGGGTAAAGGAGATCCCCAGGACGGAAACCCTTGTTCTCGCCTCCACTGGTTGGCTCCAGGAGCATTACCGTATTGGGGTTGCTATGTCCTTGAAGGCATGGACTTCGTGACCGGATCTATGCCCACGCTGTTTCTTCTCTATGTTTTCGTGAAAGGTTTCAAGAGTAGTATGGTCAGGGTGCTGGTGACGGGAGTCCCTGTGTTAGTCATCACATGGTATTTTCTTGCCCTCTACAAGCCGTATGGCCCTGACACCTTAAACATTACTACAACATTGATGAGCGCGTTGCCGCGCCCATCCATATTTACCGAATAACTTCAAATTAAGAGGAGTATGGCGACACATAACAGGATTGCCGCGCCCTGTGTTAGTCATTTATTTTGAATAGAGTTTCATTGTGTGCATCGTCAATACAGAGATGAGGAGCATTGTAAAGAAACATGAGAGCTTATTATAAATTTATGATAGAAGGATTGATTCTTTCTTTTAATTTTCAGAAGGTTCAATTGTCCAGAAAAATGAAAGCATCGAGATCTGATGGTGTCTTTAGGTAATAACGGTCATGAGGTGGCATCTTCAGTCGGTGAGTTGTTGAACTCAGAGACCGAAAATGCCTTGGTTATGTTACCAAAAAAAAAACAGCCTCTGAGACCCCCGTCAAGAATGATGATCTGGATGTGCTCCTAATACCATATATTCATCACATGTTTGAAGACGTTTGCCAGAAAAATCATACAAGTGTTCTTGGCATTCCTGAAATGATACTCAACCCTTTCTTCCTACATCTAATTCTACGTCACCTCATCAAAATTGCCTAGTTGGCATGCCCGATACTACTAATTATGATACTCCCATTACAGGTAACCTTATTTGATCCATAGCCCGGCTAAATCAATAACGTCTATTGTTTATTTCTCATCTACTAATTTTCGCGTGTCTTTCATCACTGTATCAACATCCAAGACAAAACATGGGTCAGAACCAACTTTTTCATCTAAAAACACTAATATTTCATTTTCATCTAAAAACACTAATATTTCATTTTCAACTTTGACCAATGATGGACCACATTCAGTTGACGCATACAAGTCCCTTGAGGTTTTCGTGGAGTACATGCATGCTACTGTCTTTTTATAGCCATGTGCGTCGACCGATTCAAAGATTACAGATTGATCCTCCTTTTATTTAAATACACAATTTTTTAAAAAAACATTTGAACTAATTTTAATAAAATATTTTTAAAAGTTCACATACATAATATTGTTTCTATATCTGTATTGGCCTGGGCCATTGCCGGCTTATATATGTTATAGGTCAATATGTCGTTGTTGCACAGAGTGTGGAAGGAGGAGAGCTCCTATACGGCGCTTATAGCACCTGCTAAGCAGAGCTCCTATACGGCGCTCATAGCACCCACAAGGAAGCTGGTGCTCACGGGCAAGTTAGATGGGCCGTGGCCCATGAGGCCACCTGACCTCTGATTTTTTTATTGCTGACCGTTCTTAATTGACCTCTGATCATTGCCGCTGGCCTTTGAACATTGACCATTGAGGCGGACGGAGCCGATCAGGATGAACCACGGCGGCCAGGTCGCCCTGATGGTTGCCGGAGACGGCCACGGGGTGCAGATGTCGGTGTCATTTGCTGCAGCCGGCGCAAATGAACTTGTTCAAGTCTCACTTCCTCAACCTACTCGGTTAATCTTATGAACCAGCAAGTGCGCGGCTAAGATTAATGTTGTCATGTTTTTTTTTGAGAATAGTCTTCTTTCTTTCTTTTTTTGTTTGCCATCTTAAGTATGTATCAGAAATGCAAAAAAATGTGACGTCAAATTTGTAGGCAGGTTAAATCAAAAGTTTTTCTATGGCATTTTGTATTGTCGTGAGAATGACAAATTTAGTTTGTAAGCATGGTAAATAGAAAATGACCTGAGGTAGACTTGCCATGCTCGCCAACTAAATTTGTTGTCCTTGACGGATATAATTTACCATGAAAAAACGTTCGGTTTGCCATGCCTAAAATCTAATATTGGCTAGATATACAGGTCTATATGTATTTGGGTTCTCAAATAAAATATTATGTATTCTGAAGCGTGGCATGTCAACTAAAAAAATTTCCCTACACGCTGCCTCAACTTTCCTACAAGCATGTCGGATTGAGGTATCTCCGATCTATCCCTATCTCAACGTCATCCGATCCGGCGCCGGCGCCATGGAAGAGCCTGTAAGAGTTTGTTGTCCTGGATCTATTAGTTCCCTTCAGATCCTGGCTCTTGGTGTGTCCTTCAAGGATAAGGAGAGCAATTGGTTGGCTATATTGGTGTGGCGATTTCGACATCTTCTTGCTTGTTGCTCTCTGGCATGGCCTGGTTTCTCTAACCCTCTAAACTGGTGGTGATAAATTGCAAGTCTGTTCTGCATGGGGTGATACTCTAGTCGATGTTGATGCCGTGATTTATAAATCTCGTCTCAAAGGGCAAGTGGCTACTGCAATATTAAAAGACTGGTATGGCAAAAAATTGACGGGGAGCTTACATGTAGTATTTCGGTTCTCAATAAAATATTGTGTATTCTCAAGGGTGGCATGTCAACTAAAAAAAATTCCTCCACGCTGCCACATCATTCCTACACGCCGCCACATCGGTTCACCAGCTCTTCCTGTCTGGCGGCCTCGGCGATGGCAAGAGGACTGGGTCCGTCTCATTTGTCTTTTTTCTTAGGTTATTGTTTCCTCGCCGACATTAGCGAGGTGGTGGCGGCGATTGCGTGTTGGAATGAGGTATCTTTGATCTCTCCCTACCTTGACGTCATCCGATCCGATGCCGACTAAGAGCCTGTGAGAGTTTGTTGTCCTAGACCTATTGGTTCCCTTCAGATCTTGGTTGTTGGTGTGGCGACTTTGACATCTTCTTTCGTGTTGTTCTCTGGCATGGTACAGTTTCTCCAACCCTCTAAACGGGTGGTGATAGTTGCAAGCCTGCTTTATGCGGGATAATGTTCCAACCAATGGTGATTTAATGATTTATAGATCTTGCCTCAAGGGGTAAGTGGCTAATGCAGTATTAAAAGACTAGTGTGGGAAGAGTGTTTGCGGGCTCCCCTTTCCTTTGTGAAAGTGATAAGTATCAAACGTTCGGTACGAGCACATGGCAACCCAAACGTTTTTTATGGCAATTTTAGTTGACGAGAGGATGGCAAGTTAGGGAAAAGCATGACAATTTTTCGCCCGGAAATAAACTAAAGCATGAAAATTGTCGTGCTTGGCAATTAAAGTTGTTATCCTTGCGTCACTAAACTTGCCGTCGAAAACGTTCGGTGTCACCATGTGCTTGTTTCGAATGTTCGATACTTATCAGATTCCTTCCTTTATTGTTGTTTTTGTGCAATTTTCAATCTTCGGCGGGCCGTTTACAATTAGAGGAGGAAGAAGACTAGTATTATTTTCAATGTAATTTTATTTTTTTTACTTGTCGTTCGGTGTCCAATTGTCTATCTGTTGTACTGGCTTTTATTTTTCTTGATATTAATCAGATCTATGATGTCTTCTACGTCTCTTTATTCAAAAATAAGAAGGGAATAAGACTAAACTTGATTCAAACTGTGTTGGCGTTTAAATGTAATGTCTGAAGAAGAAATCCGGGTACACATTATATCATAAATTTACATCCCTTGGAATTTTTAAATTATCATGAAGATCTACACCAACTATAGTTTCTTTTGCGGGATACACCAATTATAGTTTTATTTACAAAGTAGTTTCTCCATTATTATTATTGTCCTATATATAACTAAGAGAGCCATCCCTATTACTTTAGTTATCTTAATATGCAACCTATCCACATCAACATGTCTGCCGCATCAGCAAATTAAAAAAATTTACAACTATATTTTCATTTTCTTTACCCGACCTACACGCTTGGTGTGTTCATCTCCTCCGTTAGTTAACATCTCTTCCTCTCCTCTGTCCTCTCACGCAAACAAATCCAGATGCATTGATGGATTTTTTTTCTGCCCCCAAGCAATGTGTCTTCCTCCTGTGATTCCCTTCATCTCCCACAAATCAATAAAATCTCAGTCGAATAGCAACTATAGCACCGTACCAGAAAGAAACACCAAGCGTTCGGTAGGGGCGACGGGCGAATGACATCGCAATGGAAGAAGGTCATGCTTTGGGTGCACCATTCTTCTCTTCATGCCTCTATCTATCTCACAGTTCTTCTTCTCTCCCCGCCTCTATCTACCTTTCTCCATACCGTGCCAAGGTTCCAAATTTCGATAGCAAGAAAATTTCGATGATCCTTGAAACTTACAAAATTTCCGAAACTTCATCAATTTTGAAATTGGTTTCGGACCATTCAACGATTTTTTTTTACTAAACTTAGATAAATTTAAATTTAAGCATCAGAATATATCTATTTTGTAGCATGCCTCTGTACAAGCAAACTCATGTATCGCAGTGGTGCCGTCCTAACGTGCATTTTCACATACCCAAGTTGGACACGTCATTTTTTATGATTTTTCAAATAGTAGACAAAAATTTAAATAAAACTAAGAAAAAGCAATAGCGGGTTCGAACTTCAAAACCTACGGGAGGAGAACAGAACAACTTGCCACTGCGTTATGCAGAGTTTGATGGGTGTAAAACGGATTCTACCACTCTATATATGATTTTTTTTAAGGATGAAGTATTTCAAACGAAATGCAAATATTTTGGTCACCCTTTTGTTAGAATAAATCCGAGGCATACCGTTGATCATCCGAGGACCCAGCAATCACACGAGCACAACACCGAGATTTGTTAACGAGGTTCACCGATATGGCTACATCCCCGGGGCCTGACTATGGGCGCTCCTCCCCATGACACCGCTACAATACCGCACCCGGTCGCCCTGGACACCGGCACATGCCGCCGGCTTCCCCTGCGTTCCGGTGCTATTATGTTGGCATAGGTTACATCGTGTGTCTAGCCCCACTATATATGAGAGGCCTAGGATACAAGTGTCCTG